GCCCCTGGCGCCCTGGCCCTTCGGTGATTGGCTGCGGCGCACTCAAGCCCCGCCCCCGGCCTCACGGAGTTTCCAAAACCTCCTGGGGGCGGCAACGCGCCGTGGACCCCAGCCCTTTGTTAGAGCCCAGCTGTATAAGGGTATTATGCGCAGCCGGCGTTCTCCAAGAGCCGAGTCCGAGGCTGTCAGAACTGGAGAGGCCCTTGGAACGCCGCTCCCGTCCCGAGGTTTACCTCGGGGCCACTGGAGCTCAGAGAGGAGACTGACTGCGAAGACCACAAAACAAGTTCGCCTGAGACCTGGGGGGCTAAGTCAAGGCTGAACTGCAGAGGCTACTCCCCTTCTGGTACCCTCAGAGAGAACTCTCAATATCCTTTCTACCGAAGTGCTGCCTCAGACCGAAAAAAAGGCGTGTCACCTGACTTCCCCCAAATGCTGAAGGGTTCTGCTACAACACGGTCCCAGTTTAAGGGCCAGAGGCACGGATTCACCACCGTAGCTGTTGGCACGTATCGGCTCGGAACACCTTTCGTGTACGCTTAACACCTATTTCTTTCTAGACGTAGGGACTGAATGTCAGACTGTGGCATTCAGACGTTGGGGTGTAGCTCTGTGGTAGAGCGCTTCTCTATCATATGTGAGGCCCTGGATTCTATCTCCAGCACTGGGGGAAAAAATCAGTTTGGAGGTGCCCCCACCCCTCATATGACAGTCACTGTGGAGAATGTTTGAGAGCGTCTGTTAGCTATTGAAGCCAATTGTGTAGGTCTGTTCTGCCCACCTGAACAATAGTACATCCATTTTGGAATCATCTTACTGTTCAGGGATGAAACTAATAGCTTATTTCCATTATTTCCAGTTTTCCCTCTATTAAGACCACTAGAAGCAGTTGGCTTTCCCAGGGGACAGAGAATTGCAGTGTAATGAATGAAAAGTGCAAGGGTTTATCACACTCCTGAGTCCTAATTGCATTCTACTTAACTAGTTCCCGTGACCATGGGCAAAATCATTTAACTTCTGAGTCTTAGTTCCCTCCTCCTCCTCCTCCTCCTCATACTCTTTTTTTTTTTTTAGCCTTCGTGGAAAGATTAAAGAACATACTGTATTTTAAATGTCTGACACAGTATTTAACAGAGTGAATAATATTAACACTTGAACTGTAATGAGAGATTTTCCTCTTGGGCCAAAGGACCCACAGGCTGAACTCCTTTCCCACCTTGCTCCCCACTCCTGCTTAAGAGATATGTGTCAAAAAGTCTAGACTGTCCAATATGGTAACCAGGAGTGATGTGTGACTCTTGGGTGACATGTGGCTAGTCCAATCTGAAATGTGCTGATACCAAACTTTAAAGGTTTAGTAAGAAAACAAGAATGTAAAATATATTAAAATCAACTCACCTGATTCTTTTTACTTAAAAAAATACACTTTATTTTTTAGAATAGTTTTAGGTTCACAGCAAAATTGAGTGGAAGGTAGAGAAGGCATATACTCCCTACCTCTCCTATGCATGGTCTCCCCACTAATCATCCTGCACTAGAGAGGTACATCTTTTACCATCAATGAACCTTCATTGACATAACAACCAAAGTCTATAGATTACATGAGAATTCACCCCCCCCCTTTTTTGTTTTTGGTACTAGGAATTAAACTCAGGGGCACTCAACACCGAGTCACATCCCCAGCCCTATTTTGTATTTTATTTAGAGATAGGGTCTCATGGAGTTGCTTAGCACCTTGTTTTCTCTGAAGCTGGCTTTGAGCTGGTGATCCTCCTACCTCAGCCTTCTGAGCCATTCAGATTACAGACTTACGCCACAGTGCCTGGCCAAGAATTTACTCTTAGTGTTGTACATTTTGTGGGCTTTGACAAATGTAGCTGTTAGAAAAAACATTACTTGTGTGGTTCATCTTGGGGCTCACATTATACTTCTTCTATTGGACAGTGCTGGGATGATCATTTTTTTAAAAAGATTAATGCTTAGTGATGAACATGGCACTTTAAAAATTTTACTTACCAATTGATTTTTGTCCTGGGATCAAAAGCCATCTTATCTGTATTTTAGATTTTAAAAAGCATCCAATTTACCATTAAATCTTTTGATTAGTTTTTATGTGATATATCTTCTCTATGGTTTTACTATTAACCTCTCTGTGTCCTTATATTTAGATAGTAAAAATCTTGTAGTTGGGTCCTACTTATTTTTCTTTTTAATCTAATTTGATAATATCAATCTTTTAATTGGAGTATTTAGAATATTTGGATTTAATATAATTATTGATATGGTTGTGTTAGAACCTACTATTTTGCTATTTGTTTTGTATTTGCTCTATTTGTTCTTTTTTTCTATTTTTTCACTTTTACTCTTCTGTTTTCTTTTGTAATAATAGAGTGTTTGTTATTTTTGCAGTTCATTTTATCTCCACTATTGGCTTATTAGCTCTACCTCACTTTTTTAGTAGTTGTTCTAGGGGGTGCATGTTTTATCATATCGTAGTGTGCCTTCAAATCATAAATATCACTTCATGTAAAGTGTAAGAACATGGCAACACTATACTTTCATTTCCCCTTCCCATCTTAAGTAATAATGTTATAATTTTGCTGCTGAATATTACTATTTTGCTTTAAGCAGCCAATTGCTTTTAAAAGAGATTATAAATTATAAAATGAGAAATAATTTCTTTTGTATTTGCCAATATTAACCATTTCTAATGTTTTCATTCATTTGTGTAGATCTAATTTTTCTCTGGTATTGCTTTTGTGCTGCCTGAGTACTACCTTTGACCTTTATTATAATTCAGGTATATTTGCAATAAATTATCTCAGCTTTTGTTGGTCTGGAAAAGTCTTTGTCTTAACTTAAGGTTTTTTTTTTTTAAATGGAATTCAAGTTTGACATATTTTTACTTTATCACTTGAAAATATCATTTAGTTGTCTTCAGGCTTCCATAATTTCAGTCAAAAAGTTTTGTCATTTCTTCAATCTTCTGGATAATATACCTGTTCTCTCTCCTCTGTCTGCTTTAAAGTTTGTTGTTTTTAGGAGAGATACTGGGGAATGATATTGACCAAACTGTATTGTTATGTTGTGTGTATGTACAAATATGTAGCAACAAACCTCACTATTATGTATAATTGTAATGAACCAATAAAAAGTATGAAAAAAGTATATTGTTTCTAAACCACTAGTGTTTAGCAATTTGATTACAATGTACTTTGGCGTGGTTCTCATTTTGTTCACCTTATTTCAGTTATGTTGAGATACTGGGATTTGTGGCTTTGTATTCTCAGTGAGTTTGAAAATTTTTGGCTATTAATTCCATTAATTTTTTTTCTGCCTACCCTGATCTCTTCTTCTGGGATTTTAGTTACATTGGCCACTGAGTCAGTCTCTCTCTCTCTCTCTCTCTCTCTCTCTCTCTCTCTCTCTATCTGTCTCTACTCTCTCTATCTTTCTGTAATAGGAATTGAACCCAGGGTCACTTTACCATTAAACCATATCCCCAGTCCTTTTTATTTTGAGACAGGGCCTCACTAAGTTGCGGAGGCTGGCCTCAAACTTGTGATCCTTCTGCTTTAGCCTCCGGAGTCACTGGGATTATAGGCATTTTCCACCATGCCTGATTTGTTTATTTCCCTTGCCTCCCAGCCTTTTTTTCCCCCTTGTAATTCAGTGTGGATGGTTTCTGTTGCTATGTTTTCCAGTTCACTGTTCTTTTCTCTGTAGTATCTCATATGCTATTAATTTTATACGCGATATATTTTAATTTCAGGCACTACAGTTTTCATCTATAGAAGTTCTCTTTGTATCTTTTTATATCTTCTACCCCTCCCCATTATGTTCATGCTTTCTTTTACATTCTTCGACTTATAATATTTACAATAGTTATTTTCATGTCCTTGTCCGATAATCCTATCATTTCTGTATCTGTTTATATTGATAGACTTTTCTCCTGGTTATATTGGGGTTAGGGTATTTTCCTGCTTCTTTACATGCTAAACAAATTTTGATTGCATGACATACAGTATAAACTTTATAGGTTGAGTGTGAATTTCTTTTGTTTGTATGTGAGTGTCTATTTCTCTAAAGAATGTTACTTTTTTTTTTGGCATGTAGCTTAGTTACTTGTGGATCTGCTGAGATCACTCATTTGTTTCTTCAATGTGACCATATTTTCCTTTACGTGATTAAATATATGTATGAGAAGTGCTTTAAACTACTTCCAACATCTGGGTAATCTTGGCAATGATTTCCAATGACTTTTAAAATCTTTTAATCTTGGTAATTGGTTATATTTTATAATTTCTTCACATGACTAATAAAGTTTTACTTTTTGCTGGGCCTAGGACATGCTTCTTATATAAAGAACTTGGTTCCAACCCTTTAGGCACAGCTGTCACTGCAGTAGAAAAAAAATGGACAGGATAGAAATAGAACCAAATGGAAATTCTAATTCTATGAATAAAGTACAATAAGTGAATTAAATATCCAACATATTGAAATAGCAAAATACAGGATAATTTAAAGCTAAATTAGCAAAAATGGTTCAATCTAGAAAATGGGGAACAAGATGGGAAGAAAATGTCTTTCATGACTGTGGGACAATATTAAGAAGTTTTAAGTATGCATAATTGGAGTCCCAGAGGGAGAGGAGAATGAATAGAATAGGAAAAAAGTTGAAAGATTAATAGCTGAAAAATTTCAAGTTTGGTGAAAACATCAATTTTCAGATCCTAAAAGCTTATTGTACCCTAAGGACAAATTCAAAGAAAACTTCAATCTAGACACATTGTAGTCAAACTGTTGGAAACTAAAGAAAAAAATCTTGAAATTAGCCCAAGAAGAATGACTTTTTACATATAAAAATAATAATATAGATGAGAAAATAATGGAGGTCACTTTCATTCACCTCCATTGCTAGCACCCTAATCCATCATGTCTTGCCTGGAAAGTTGCAATAGTTTCCTGATGGATTGATGGCCTTTCATCCTTTCCCCCAACAATCTATTTTCAATAAAGCAATTATAGTGACCATTTAAAGGAACTCAGTTTATGTTGGTCTTCTCTTCAGAACTCTCCAAAGCCTTCCCATCTTACTCAAAGAAAAGTGAAATTCATTACAACAGGATCTTGTACTCTAACCTCTCTGACCTCACTGCTTACCATCCCTGACTCAATCATTCATCAGCTCCAACCAATCTGCTCTGTGCCTTTGCTCAATCGCTCCACATATCTCTTGCCTCAGAACACTTAGATTTGGAGTTTCTTCTGCCTAGAAACCATTTCTCCCCAATAGTTATATGATTCTTCCTCTTTTTTAAAAAAATATTTATTTTTTTAGTTATAGTTGGACACAAAACATTTATTTATTTTTTTTTAAAGAGAGAGAATTTTTTATTTTTTTAGTTTTCAGTGGACACAACATCTTTATTTTTACTTATGTGTGGTACTGAGGATCAAACCCAGCATCCCATACATGCCAGGTGAGCGCGCTACCACCTCAGCCATATCCCCAGCCCCGATTTGTGCATTTTTATATGGTGCTGGGGATGGAACCCCGGGCCTCACGTATGCCAGGCAAGTGCTCTACTGCTGAGCCACAACATTCATGGTCATTAGAATTAAAAAATAGACAGAGAGGACTGGGGTTGTGGCTCAGCGGTAGAACACTTGCCTGGCATGTGTGAAGCACCGGGTTTGATTCTCAGCACTGCATATAAATAAATAAATAAAAGTTCACCAACAACTTAAAAAAAGAAGTAGACAGAGAGAACAAGTCTTAGCCTTTTGGTTTGAAAATAAACATTTGAAATTCTAGGCACAGTGATTTTAAAATAAAAATGTTTAAAAACACAGAACTCAGCCTGAAAGATATGAAGCTAAATATATATATATATATATATATATATATATATATATGAACAGCAGACATGGAAGAATACTGTGATCAGTCACACAGTGTCCCTCCCACTCTCATCAGTCCTCAGCAATGTCATTTACTCTGATGCACTAGAGGAGAAGAAGGGGTTGCTTCTGGGGAATGCAGTGGGGGTGGGACACAGAGCCCCCAGGAAGTCTTGAGAATATGAAATACGAAGTCTGAGACCCACTTTCCATGT